ACAACATTTTTGTAACTTGAAATTTTTGTATGTTACTTGAACATAACATACTGACTTGTAGTACTCTGGGGATTGGGGTTGGAAGTAGAACAAAAAGAAAGTATTCCTACAACCCTCAGAACAATTCCCCTTCATTTTCAGGAAATATCTCCTTCCTTTCAAGGTCCTAGTGTTACAGGGAACCCCACTGTGAACTGGGCTGCCTATTTGTGGGGCCTCACCCGTGCTTAAAATTCATTTGTACTGCAGGCACACACAAAAAAGGATCAACAATGGGTTTATTTACAAAGGGGAAAGGAAAAGGTGCAACCCAGGGAAAGAGAGAGAAATAAGTTAACTAGAACATTCTACCAACTCTGCTGACTTGGAACTCCATATACACTGATAGCCACCAGCCATGCAGTCCAAAGACAATGACACAGTGCAGAGAGAGAGCGCACATGTCTCACATCGCTTCCTTATATCTCCCGCAAAGTCCCAGAATGCCTGCTTAGCTCCACCCTTGGGTCCTTGCACTTCTCTCTGTGGTACTGCTGGGAGTTGTAGTTTACTGGAGCAGGGGGTGGAGTCCACAAGACTGCAGAGTTCCTTTGGAACATCCTTTCCCCCTAACACTCTTGAGCTTTGAGATCAGTTTCCAAGTTCCTGGACTGGTGACCAATTTATGGTCATCTTCTCTATCTCATCTCCAGTTATCATGCAAAAGTTGTGGTCATGCTAAAAGTTCACATGATACCCTAGAATGAGCAACAGTTCTCAGAGCCACTTCTATGACAGTATTTAGCGTCACTGTTAGAACTACTTTACCTCTCAAGTCCTAGTTTCGACCCCGAACTTTCTATGTTACCCATTTATACCCATCACACTAATTTTATCCTCAATCTATCCCTTCCCATTCACCCAGCTTACCAGTGGCTTGCTGACCTGACTTCTTTTTTACAATCCAGCCTAAATCCCTGGGTTGGACTCCAATGATCTCATTAGATATTGGCCTTTTAGACAGTTGTTACTGGCCTGGTGACCATAAACTCCTCACCCTTGCCCTGTTAATCCTTGTCTTGCTCCTGTGTATCATTTCTTACATCAAACACACAAACTGGCTCAAACCATGATGAAGTAGAAGACAAGGGTTACACCACAGCCTTTACCACTGTAAAAAGCATGCACAGCAGATTCAGTCAAGAAGGGCAGCCTAAGAACCTCATCTATTTCTCTTCAATCCTAAATGTAGACACTTAGCTTCTCTCTTTCCTTAGTACTTCCCTGTATAAGTCCCTGCTATGTCTCAGTTCAGGATGATGATTTTTGAAATAGTAGCACACCATTGCCTTGGATGTTGAACCCTGATTAAATCTAATTGTCTTCCACTAACTCTTGCCTCTTGAGTTTTGGCTTACAAGAGTTGACTACCCAAAACCTAAACTGCAGTAATATTCTTACATTATGAAGTCTAACCCTGGCACAACATACTTTTCTCCAATCTCCATTCTTGGCATAGAATCACTGCTATAAGAAAAAAAAAAAAAATGAGTATACTTGTATCCCTATCACAACAATTAATGATTTCCTCTTAGATGGATTTTTGAAGTCATTTCTAGCTTTCCTTGCCTTTGGTCAGTTTCCTCATTCAGTATTCCTGGTGGCAAATGCTGATAAAAATGTGAGATGAGTGTCCTCCCTGGTGGAGTAGTGGCACTAAGAAGCTAAAGCCACTTCAACATGAGTTCCATCCCCCGCCCCAGAGGTGACCCACATGGCGGGACAGATCTCTCCTGACCCGCCTGCTGCTTCCCTCAGCAGTGTGCTTCGTCAGTCGGCCTGTTCTACTCCCTACTTTGTCTCTGGTGAATCCTCCCACCACCCCTGTACCTCTGGCCTGTACCCCAGTTCTGTATGCATAAATAAATACATAATTATTTTTTAAAAATGTGAGATGAGGCCCTCCCTGGTGGTGCAGCGGGTTAAAGCACAGCACTAAGAGGCTAAAGCCACTTCCACCTGAGTTCGATCCCCGCCTGCCCCGGAGGTGACCACATGGCGCCGCAGACCTCTCTGGACCTCCCCGCTGCTCCCCTCAGCAGTGTGCTTCGTAGATCTGCCTGTTCTGCTCCCTGCTCTGTCTCTGGTGAAGCCTCTAGCTACCCCTGAGAGCCTCTGGCCTGTACCCCAGTTCTGTATACACTAATAAATCTTTAAAAAAAAAATGTGAGATGAACTATAGTAAACACAGATTACTAACACTCTTGAGGAACTGAGTATGATGACAAAAATGCTAATCATGGTGAAGTAATTCTACTTTACTGTTATATATTCCCTTAGGCTCCAAGTTAAGTACTTTCTTGGAACCAGGAGTACTAAAAAAATCCCCCAAACACATCAGTGGGAGACATGTTCCAAGATCCTCCATGTTTACCTGAAACCACATAGTACCAAACCGTTCATACACTGCTGTGCCCTCTTCTTACACACCCATGATAATTAAATTAGGTGCAGAGATGAACGATAAAAAAGAACAATACACCACAAAAATAAAGTTTTGTGAATGTGGTCTCCTCAAAGTAACTTATGATATGTAATGTTTTTTAGCTGTGGTTGATAGTAAGTGAAATTGCAGACAGGAAAGCCATGATTAAGGGACGATTACTGTGTGCAGTCTTGAGCCCACAGATCTAGGGTGTTTGAAAATGAAGTGTAGGAAAAATTAGGTAAAGGGTGTCTCATTGGTAAAAATAGCTTTTACTTTATGCTCTCATGTTTAAGATATTCTCATATATCTTATACTTTATCAATTAAAACATATGCAACATTTCATTTAAATTTATTCTTTCAAGTTTAAGATGGAAGTTAAAACATCATACAGGTTAAAATCATAGACTAAAACAAAAGCAGTCGATGATCATTTACAAACATTTCCCCATCTCTGATTTTATACCTTATACAAAGGTATTGTTAATGCAATTCTAATTTCTTATAAATATATTAGTCAAGCAACAAGATGACAATGTATCACAGCACAGCACAGAATATTTCCTTAACAAAGCACAGTCCCAATATTTGGTGAACACTTCTGCATAGAGCTGATTTGGAGGGTCTTAAGTACTGGTTATGACACAGGCAACATATATACATTAACAAATGGAAAACATAACTTGTTAACATAAGATAAAATATTCTATGCTTAAAATTAGAAAATTATGGGACAATTTAAAAGCAGACAATTCAAAGTGCTTTAATTCTAGACCGATTACCAGAATATTCTCTGCTTGAGGACCTATATCCTTTGAGTACTAATCTTTGGCTCTTTAGTCAACTTCTAAAAGCACTTGAGGTTTATTAGTCAAAATCTGAAATCACACTGGTTAGTTATATTAAACCATGCCTTTTAAGAAATTTATGGCACTTTTGACTTAAAACTTCAAAAATAATACTGTTCTTGAAAGTAAAAATGCACTACTTTCAAATCTTTCAACATGCTTCGGTTTGAAATTCTGTATTTTGTGAAACCACAATAGTAGTTCCAACTTCCAGCAAAGTTTGAAGTGGTTTTTAAATGGAATAATATATATTGCATGGGCTGGCAAATCTATGAATTGGTTATCCACACATAATGATGTCTTTATGTCTTCATTGCAAAAACACCATAAGATGAATCCCACTTTGGCATGATGTAAATAAATGTTAAAAACCTTAACAATGCCACACAAATGTGTAGGGGTAGCTTAAAATGATGCTACCAATACATTGCATATAAGCAACAGTCACAACAGTTTTGCAGACAAAAAGAAAAGATTAGAGAATCATTGGCTGGAAAAGAAACAATCTATCTTAATCTTCAATTTTAGGTTAGTCTTCAGCACATGGCATTCTTGATCACCATTACTTGGTGAGCAGCCAGACAAGACTCTGACATATATGTTTTTAATGTTCAGAACCTTATAAGCTTTAAAATTAACCACTGGTTAGTCTGTCTCCTGAAAAGATGAAACATATTGTGATGAAATTATGCTAAGTTTAACTACAAAAGCACTAAAACAAGAAAAAGGACAGAAATACTATAGTACACAAATAATTCTGTGAACCATTTCTCTTGACTTGCTTCCTGATCTTAGAAATATATATTATGTGAATGTGTTCCTTTAAACAAAGGAAAGTTTGTAGAATTCTTCATATTGGAATGTGAGCCACTAGTCTTGGGGTACACTTCCTAAGTTAAACAGAACATTTCTTAAAATTCTATTAAATAAGGCAGTCTTGAAGCATAAATATTATGAAATATTAGCATGTAAGCCTTTACATGTATTAATTCATGCATTACCCTTGTTGGGAAAATGGTTATTTAAGCCTTCATGCTTTACTACTAATAGGACCGGAAGCTCACTGGCTACTTAAAATTTGTCATAATTATAATCTAAATCTGAGGTATCCACTATTAGAAAAGAATCCACAAATACTGGATGGTTTTGCTCATAGCAGGATTATAATGGATCAGGCGAGAAAATAATAATGGACCAGGCGAGAAGATAATAATAAACAGCTATATACTAGACATTTTATGGGGGTGGAGTGGGGAATGGGATCAAAAACAGTCAGGGGAGGGAAGTACATTGGACTATGGTGATGGCACATGGGTGACTTGGTGATGGGAAACCCACAGGGATTATAACTGAGATGAAAAAAAATGTACAAAATTATGTAAAAATAAACTGTTATATTAAAATTTAAAAAAAATCCACAGTTAGGACAGATAAATCTATCTTAATTATCCTCTGAGCATTTGGAGGCTTTTAGGCATTTTTTCCCCAATAGGATTTTTTTTTTGAGTTACTTATTTATTTATACATACAGAATTGGAGTACAGGCCAGAGGTGCAGGGGTGGTGAGAGGATTCACCACAGAGTGGGGAGCAGTAATACACTGCTGAGGAGAGCAGTGGAATAGTGGTGAGACAGGAGAGGTCTGCTGCACTATTGGGGTCATCTCCAGCTGGGGATCGAACTCGCACTGAAGTGGCTTCTGCTAGCTTGCAGTGCTGTGCTCCAACCTGTTGTGCCACCAGGGAGGGCCCAGAGGATCATTACTTTAGTGACATATAGCTAGCATCAGACATTATTAATTAATACTTGAAATCTGTGTCACTGTATATCCCACTCACATAAAAATAAAAAATTACATCAAGGGAATGAAATCAGATAGAGTAGGCCTTTCTTCAATGTTGGGGAAGAGACATGCATGCTCCATGCATGCCTTTCTGGTGTCCCAGGGGATATAATGAGTGGACTGTTCATAAGGAACAGGGGCACAGCAAATGAATGACAAACAATCGCAAGAAGTATGTTAATACAATCACACACTATCATAAATCAGAGGTGATATTCTGTGATGACTAGAAAAACAAGGGTTAATAATGTAAGAGTACTTAGATTAAAAGCTGGCATTCTAATTCTTACAATAAGCAGATAACACTGAACAGGGAGTTTCTTTATCCTTATCTTTCCCTCCCAGTAAACACTCTGTTCAAAAGTCAGTTAGAACAAACTTGAAAACCTGTCATTTTACAATGAAGCTAGTATTTTTAACTACTCTATTTTTCCCCTGTACCCAGTAGCTCTGAAGTCTTGGCACTTGTTTTTTGTTTTCTGAAACACATGCCTTGGATGTGATGTTCTCCCACAGAAAAGGAGTAATTAAGACCTCTAAAGTAGAAGAGTTTGTAGATTTTCAAGTTACTGCTCTAGAATCTTGAACACATTGCCAAAAAAAAAAAGAATGTTACAGAGGATGAATATCTTATTTTAAGAGTTGGAATTAAGTTCCTCAATAATGGCAATTGCTGAAAGAAAAATATATTCACAAACTAATTTTTATCTAATCCAAAATACCATCAATTTTAAGATGCACCACATGTATCCCTAAGACAAAATACAAAGTGACACAATACTTTCATCACATAGAATGTTTATTTTATATTTATTGAAGCACTTTTTTAGTGTCAAATTTTTAACTTGTACATATGTAAAGAATGTGTATGAAATAAATTAGTTAAGTTACAATTATAATTTCATATTCTGAGTCCAACTCCTTTGAATTATTTCTAAAATAAGTCATTGATGTCTAAATTCTTCCATGAAATACCACTTTTGGTGGACCGGTGATATAGCATTTCTTGAAAGAGTGCTCCACTGTCCTGTTTGATGTTAGCAGGAAGCGCGGGACAAAACGTTTGACACCTTACGATCATCTACTTGACATATGAATCAATAACATTAGTCTCACATTGCTTTGAATTGTTTCACCTATTTCAAGGGTTTTTGGCAATTTCCCCCATGCTTCTACAATGGGTGGCATAATATAGGGAATCCTTTTGCATATAACTCAGTCACAAAATACAGTACAGGTTCATCTACTTGTGGGTCCTGTAGAACATTTTGTTTTGCTTTATAAGAAAATAATGGAATTTTAGTAATTCCTCAAGGAATGGACATTTCCTTCACTAATACCAAATGGATGCCCACTACTGTATTTCTGTGCTTTTCTACAGACATAATAACTTTAGGTATCCATCCTGATTCAAAGTATATTTTTTTTAAAAGACATTTCTTAATGCTAACAAAACATGACAAGGTTTAATACCAACAATACAGTGAGGAAGCTGTAACCATCTGTAAGTTCACACAAACACAGGCTGAGATAATTGCTCATGATGATTGCCTGGTTGACAGTAATCATGAGATGCCTCCCAATTTCAGACAAGGTTAAATGTGTGGGGAAAATGCATAACTAATAAAATATGGTTCTTCCAACCTGTTAATATTTACCAGATTCAAACCACTGCAAGAAAATAAGCTCAAAAAGACAAAGGGATAAGAATGTAAGAAGAAAGACAGTGAAGCAAGGTTATTTAAAAATGAAATTGCAGTGGTTGAATTTGATTTTAATTCCCTTTATTTTCATATGGCTTACATGCAAATCTTTTTAAATTGGACTTAAAAATCTAAAATCCAAGAACAAGTGTTCTTCAATTTTTTAGCGAATTGCAAAGCCAAAAGTCAGGAAAGACAGGCTCCCAATTGCCTTCCATCATTTGCTAACACAGGTCGCCAGCTGGGGTCAGTGGCCTTCGTCAGCAGGCACCCTCCTCTGACGCGCAGATCTGATCCTGTGTGGAGACGTCGATGAAGCATCATCTTCTGTTTCAGACCCTGACGGCTCATGATCTCCCTCCTGGGACCCAGTGTCTCCCACCAGTTCCCGCAGAAACTTGAATTTTGATAAAAAAAGATGCCACACAAAATACCAACCTGGAGAGACAAAAACGTGATGAGAAGTTGTCAAACAAAATGTTAACCACTGAAAATACCCAAGTTAATTATGTGGGAGAGATAACTTACAAAACAGTACCTATAATATGAATATGTGATCACAGATATATATTTACATAACAATTATCAAGCATTCACTATGGACAAAGCATCAAAATAAACTTTGGGATGCTACAGAGGGCAAAAAGATTTTGCCTTTACAGAATTTAGAATGCAGCATGGTCCATGTACATTACAATTATAACAAAATTATGAATCTGAGTAAAAATGGTTTTTACATGAAAATAATGTTTTTGAGAGCATTTTCTCTGAGAAATAGTACACTTTGTTACTTCCGTAGACACCCAAGCTTATATTTAGTAAATGCATATATTAGCTAAAAACAAGTTTGCTTCACCCAGAATAAAAGTGATATTAAATGGTAGGAATTAACTCCACTTCAGTGAAAACATCACAGTCAAGACAAAGCTATTCATTCATATCTATTTTGACTGAGATGTTTGCACTGAAGTGGAGTTCATTCCTGCTGCAACTTGAATGAAGCTGGAAGGGACTATGCTTAGTGAAATAAGTCAGAAGGAAAAATATTGGGTGGTTTCACTGCTAGGCAGAATATAGGAGAACCAAAATAAGTGATCAGGATAAAAAATAATAATAGCAAATAAAAAAATTAACAGGCAACTATAAATGAGACGTTCTGCAGGGGAGGAAGAGGGACCCACACAGGAGAGGGAAGAGCACAAGGGACCATGGTGATGGTGCATGGCGCATTGGTGGTGGGAACTTTATGGGGACCACACATGGAAGGATAAAGCAAATATTGTGCAATAAATGAACAATGATGTAAAGTATCTATATAAAAAATACAATTAAAAATAAAAGACTAAGCTATTCATAATTTTCAAGAAATAATATATCTTCTTTCATTATATGATGAAAAAATAAAGCCACATTAATGGTACCTTAAACTTGAGATGTTATTTACACACACACATGCAAACAATATTTTTATGTAAAAATTATTAACTTTAGTAACTCTCCTTAAAAAAATTAATAACCAAACCTGAGCATGTGGGTTTAAGTTTAATCCCAGCATAGTCCCTCATAATCGTTTGGCTTTATGCTTGTTATATCATGCCTCAATATTCAGATTCCTCATTTCTCAGTTGTAAACTGAGACAAGGAATCATAATATCTGCCAATGAACTGTGAGGATTAAGTGAAGTGATCTAAAAAATATTTGAGAACAACTGTATCAGCCACAATCCATTCAGAAAGAAAAAAAAAACTACTCTAGGCTCAATTAAAGCCCATTTAATATTAGGAATTGATTACACAGTTGATGAAAGAAATGAGTAGTCGGAGGAGAGGTAGAGAAATAACTTGGAAGTTCAGAACAGGAAGCTGCTTCCACCCCTAATTTGGAAGGGCAAACAGAAAATAGAGGACCACCTGGCAAAGACTGAAACCACAGAGGGAAAAAATCTTTTTTTCCACTAGGAATTTTATGGTCATTAAGTTTTAGAGAGCCACAATAAGGAACAAACATTAATCAACAAAGGAGGTCACAGGCTAAAACCTCCAACTCTTGTATCAGAAAACCAAAGTGACTCCATCTTGTAGCAATGCCATGTGAGGCATGTGACAGGGAATTTCCTAACCTCAGAGGACAGTCTTTTTCCTCATTGTGTCTTTGCCGTGTATTAACCTATACTTTGATCCCTACACAACTCTAGTGAGCTTAGTAAAGATGCATGTGACATATTGCCCCTGACGTCTGGTGATATTAGTCTGACACAAGAATGACCACACAGACTATAAACAGGATTGAAATAACCACTGTCAGGGGTGCATGATGTGTTGCTGTCCACCCACAACTGGCACCCTGCCTGTGTAAGTTGCCCCTAATAAACATGATTAATAGAAGTGTTGCTTTGTCCTTCAGAGTGAAATTATTCTCTCATTTTGAGGGAATTTATTTGCTTCAGAGGTTGCATTTCATGACTGTGCTCCAAAATGTTAAGAGCATAAAAGAACATTAATCATTGTAAATTTTTTTTCATACAATATATTTTCTTGATGCCCTTTGCTTTAAACTTTCTAGTTTCATGGAAAAGCAACAGACCACAGAATATTCTGATGGCTAGCATTAATAAAAACAAAATCCAACCAGCTTTTCTACTGTGTTTCACTAGTCCAAAATAGGCCACTTTCAGAACATTTCTAGTTACTTTTATCATTGAATAAAATTCCATCGTATAAATGCAATACTTTTGTTTAACTAATTAACAGACATCTGCATAGTTCCTACTTTTTTGCTGTTACAAATAAAGTTTGCACTTTTGGCTGCAACCACCATTAATGTAAAAGTTTTCATTTTCTCTTGGATATGTATCTAGAGGCAGAATTGCTGAATCATATGGTAACTTTATGCCTCACCATTTGTGAAACTGTTAAACTGTTTTCCAAAGCAGCTGCGCCATTTTACTTTCCCTCTACATCTTGATGAAGACATTTTCTTTTCATCTGGGGACTCCATTTTTACTACTCCATGCGTATAGTTGTGCCACCACCTTCCAACAAACCAGTGCCAATATGCCATCTGTTTCCCTCCCAAATCCCCTTTTCTTTGCTGTCTTTATTGTTTGCATGAGCAATCATTAAATTCTTTAACTAAGTGCAAGATCTTTTCCTGCTGTATTTAGCCTGTGCATGCAAATACAGGCTATTTACACTCCACAGATGAATGAAACCATGTGCTATCTGTCTTGTACTTTCTAAGCTTATTTCACCTAAGATAATCACCTCAAGGATTACGTATCCCCAAAGACACTACCTCATCTTTTAAATAGTTGTATAGTATTCCAGTGAGTACATATTCCACAATTTGTTTACTCACTTACTGTTAATAGGCACCTAGGTTTCATGACTTGACAATTGAGGAAAGTGCTGCTATGAGCAGACATCCTATGTTCAAATTAGTTTCAGATTAGAGTTTTATGGGTTTTGCCTAGCAAAGTACTGCTGAACCAGGACTGCCACTGAAATCGCCATGCCATCTTCCATATAAGCTGCATCAACTTACAATCCCATCAACAGTAGATGAGAGTTCCTTTTCCTCCATATCCTCACCACCATTTGTTGTTTCCATTCTATTTTGTAAATTTTATTATACATTTATTGAGGTAACATTGGCTTACACTGTTATTGGTATGTTGGAAATACAGGATCCACTTTCCCTGTTGTATCACCACCTGTCTACACCACTGGTATGTCATAGACTTAGACTACAAAGATCGCCACTGTCCTCTCTTCCCTCTTTGTTCTCATCCCTCCTTCACCCTCTCACTCTTGGGATGCTTCAGTTCAAGACTGCTTTCAAGGGAAAATTTTTGGTATTTTGTTCTTTTTAACTAAGGAAGTAACATTGTTTTACATTCTTGTTAATATTTTGATAATGTAAGATTTCTCCCATCAAGTATGATCACCAGAGCCCTCTCTCCACCAAAGCACACACAGACCTCCACACAGTTGACTATGTTCTCTCCATCTCTTCCATTCCTCCCTATCTCCTTCTAACTCACCTTGGCTCATGCATGTCTCATGTATGTCAGCTTACAAGGGTTGGTTTTAAAGTTTGTCTTTATCTGGCCCTTTGATTCTTTATATTACATATATTTATTCTTCTCCACCTGACTTACCTTGATTAGCATAATCCCTCCCAGCTCCCTCCATGTTACTGCAAATGGAATGAGATTATATTGATTTCTGTGAAGCATTCCACTGTAGATACCACATCATCTTAATTCACTCATCTGTTTTTGGGCATTTGGGTTGTGTCCATGCATTGGCTATTGTAAACAGTACTGTTATAAATATAGGAGTTCAGATTCCTTTGAATTGGTGTTGTTGTGTTTTTCCAGACATTCTCACCAATAATGTCAGAGGGTTCCTTTTCCTCCACATTCTTGTCAGAAATTTTTGCGTCCAGATTTTTAATATGTGCCATTCTCATTGTTTTGAAATGGAATCTTGTGGCATTGATCTGCATTTCCCTGCTGATTATTATATGAACACTTTTTCATGTGTCTTCTCTGGAGAAATAACTAGCTCTTCTGCCCAATCTACTTTGTAGATTGTTTATATTTGTCCCTTATCAAATAAATGTATGTTGTGCAAATATTTTCTCCCATGCAGTAGGCTACCTCTTCATTTTGATTACTGTCCCTTTCAACTGTACAGAAGCTTCTCATTTTGTGTAGTACTAGTTGTATATCTCTCTTATGTTTTCCAGGCAACTGGGGATGAGTCTGCAAAGATATTCCTGAAGATAACATCATGTAGTATTTTATGTTTTGATGTCATTCATCCATGTATTTTGTCCACTTTCAGTTGATTTTCATGTATGGTGTGAAATACTGGTCTTATTTCCTTCTTTGGCACATGACAGTCCAATTTTCCTAACAATATATTTAAGAGATTTATACAATATATTTAAGAGGTCTTTGTTCCAGTATATATTCTTTGTACCTTCATGGGACATTATTTGTCCATATATGTGTGGTTTTATTTCTAGGCTCTCAATTCTACCCATTTGATTTGAGTGTCTACTTTAGTTCTAGTAACATACAGTTTTAATTATTATGACTTTATAGTATAGTTTGAAGTTCCCTTCTTTATCAGAAAAGTTTTGGCTTATGTGGGTACTTTGTGTTTCCATATGAATATCAGTAATTAATTTTCCATTTCTTTAAAGAATGCAATGAGATTTTTATTGAGGTTGTGTTGAATCTGTAAATTACTTTGGCCATAGGATGGCCATTTTGAAAATGCTGATTCTTCCTTTCCTTTAGCAGAGAATAGTTTTCCAGTTCTTTGTCTTGTCTTTTATTTCTTTTAATAGTGTGTTATGATTTTCCTTGAATACATCCTTCACCTACATTGTTGGTTTATTCCCATGTTGTTTTTCTTTTTTCTTT